TTCATGTTGTCTGATAAGCTTAATGACATTATCATTGAAAGACGAAAGGAAATCCCCTTATTGATACATGTTTAAATCCGATCAAAGCTTTCGGCTTACATAAGCCATTATCAAAGATGACAATTACATTTCAATATATCAAACAATACACGGACGAAACAATAATGATACACAACACACACACACACGCGCGCACACACACACACACACACACACACATATATATATATATATATATATATATATATATAACATTTATTTCATTCGATGTTTTGAAGTGTCTGGATTCCCGTGCCTAGTTCATATTACTTATTCTGAGAATATTTTTTTATTTATTCAAAGATATGAAATCAGCTGATTCTTAATGACCAAATTAATAATGTATTGTCTATGCTAAGCAGGATCTCAAGGATACAGGATGTGAATTTACATCTATCAGCAGCGACAACTGTGCGCCGCGATAAAAAGCAGTTTTAAAATAAAATTGATAATTCAGAATGAAAATGCTTCATCTCTGTAATTCAAACTATTTAAAACTATTCTGTTCAGAAAGGTTAATCTGAGTTTAGTAAACATTTAGTGACCATCTGGTATTTATTAATTAATCGGTATCAGTAAAGTATCTGTCCCATTAATATCCCTGAAAATAATCTGAAAATTTAATTAATTTCTTTTTCTTACACAGTTTATTTCAGATAAAGAAATAATCGTATCAATCTAAATCTATGAAATATAAAGTCGTCCACTATTTTCGTCGAGATTTTGGTGGGGCTGAATAAGCAAGAAAAAACAGGGCGTTATCGAAACTAAATAATCGAGATTGTAATACTACTAATTTAAAAGTAAAATGTTTCTGTTAGAATCGACTGTCGTCTACTGTAAACAGACTTAAGTTGAAGAATATTAATTAACATGGCAAATCGATAATCAGCATATCCTGGCAAATATCTGAAAATTTTAATTAAAACAGCAATCGAATTAAAAAGCATTATAATGTTTATTTCAAGAAACAACGTGGTTATTTAAGGCAGAAACCTAAGTCATAATGTTCTACTTTCACCGTCATTAAACGTCGGAATAGACATTAATAAAAATTGAAGGATATTCGATCTCTAATCAAGATATATGAAAAAGAACATTCATGGCAATGGTCCTTAAATGTTTCATTAATTTAGAACGCGATTTTTATGCTATTATTCAAGGTTTAGTTAGTACAAATGCCCTCGCTTGTATAATTTTTATTCGTGTAATATAAATAATCGAATTTTATCATTCGAAATCGAAGCTAATTTTGGGGGTTCATCTAAGAAAATCTGGAGGCAAATATGAGAGGATTCTGGACTTGTAACTAAAACCCGAGAGTTACTCCATACAAAATAAATATACATAAACAAAGAAGGGACGATGCAAACAGACTAAAACCTATTCAAGACCATCAAAAAACAATGATTCATAGACCATGAAGGCCTTTTAAATCCGGGAAAAAAGTATGAAAGTATCCAGTGTCCGAGTAACTGAGGAAAGAGACTGAATCTGGCAAAGATCACTTATCATGAAGCCGTTTTATAACAATATTTTCCCGAAACCTTTGGCTGACTGTTTCCGACAAACGTCACACTTCTTCGAACTGTTTATCTCTTTTCTTTTATGAAGAAGAATTATAATTTAGACGCATATATTATGAAGTATGTTAATTGATTTTTCTCTTTATCAAATGCTCACCAAAGCGACTGCCTTGTTTCTTTGGTATTGTCAGGTAACCTGCTAATATAACGCGTGTAACAGCAAAATTGCCAAATTGTGACATTAAGCTCTGAACCGTTGTATCTTAAATATATATGACTGGAATTAACACTATTGGACTCTACATTGAGCAATAAGAATGCATAATTACCCTCCAATCTTAACAGAAGTATCGTGATGAAATCGATCATAAACGAAAATGATATGTTCATCATTAATAAATCATACGTAAGGATTGGAAGCTCATGAAGGATTGAAATAAATTTATATATATATATATATATATATATATATATATATATATATATATATTATTCCAGAATTATTTTATAACTTATTCAAGATGACTTCCGCCCTCTCTAACTTTCTAACTTTCTGTCCTGGAGTAACACAGTGCCTCACACATTTCACATACGATTCCATTTTCAAGTCTTTTTTCACCATACTTGTGTTCTACGAGAGCATCTAGAAAGGGCAAAGTACCATCACACTCAACTCCCATAGTAAACTGAAGTGATGGATGGAGAGAACTGAGTTCCGGGAAAAAGTCAGTGGCGTCTCCAGCAGAATCAAAAATAGAAAAGGTGTCATGAACGTACCGCATATAAATATAGCGTTTACAGAACTTATCAAATAGAAGTCCCTCATGAAAACCTATGAAAATATTAGCCAGTGTGAGACCCAAAGGACTACCCATTGCAACACCGTCTGTCTGGGTATATATAATATCGTGGAAACTGAATTCAACAACTTCAGTCGCCAGACGCATACATTTCAAAAATAAGTTTTCAGGGATGCTGGCCGGGCTCAAATTACCTCTATAAAGAACATCAGCACGTATATTAATGGACTCATGAAGAGGCACGTTGGTATATAGGCTGACGGTGTCAAAAGACACCATCAGTTTATTTTCCGACTAAATTTCTAATGAAATTTGAAAACTGGAAAGAGTCAGATATATTGTGAGCTGAGAAAAAATCAGAACTGGCGGAAGCAGTTCAGCCTACCATTTGGCCAACTTATACTGCACAGATCCTGCCATAGCTAAAATAGGTAGTGTACCGTTTTTATGCGCCTTTGGTAATCCATACATTCTGGCCCGTTGAGACCCTACAGGTCTAACCCTATCATAAACATCTTTGGAGGTTGTTCTTGTACATTGAAGGCATCCATCTCTGTGTTCTTGCATCAGCCTTACTAGTATTATCACACGTACTAGTAGGACCAATCACATTAAACTTGGAGGAATCATTCAAAATATCAGACATCAAAATAATCTTGCCTGTTAAAGATGACAACGCCAGAACCCTCATCAGGCTTAGTTATGTACACGTCATTTCTTGACTTCAAAGATTTCATGGTCTGAAAATGAACGCTTTACCATACAAGAAAATCCTGCTCAGCAGTGTGTGAAGCATATTCATTAAACAATTCAAGTAGTCTGGCTTTAAAATTTATTTAAATCGTGTTCCAATTTTCCCTCCTCATTCGTTATTTACTAATGTGTCTTTGATTGTTTCTTGCTGCTCGCCAACGTTCACCTTTTGAGAAAGTGTTAGATAAAAGAGTCCCCTCAAGGTAATATAATAATACTATTCAAATATATATATATATATATATATATATATATATATATATATATATATATATATATATATATATATAATTCCAGTCGAGTTTATGACATTCAATTACGTGGGAAAGTTATGAATAAATTTCGATTCCACCAGCTATGAGTTAAATAGCAGTACAAACTGGGTCCTATAGCCTTCAGTCTAGGAGAAGGAAACTTTGAACTCAAACCGAATCGCACTATCCTAAAAGTGTCTATACATGCGGCGATCGCTTGTGAACCCAAATTCCTACTGAAACTCCTAATATTAACACGTCTTCGCGTGTGGCGTTAAAACTGGCCCAGTGTTCCATAGGACACGATATGAACTAATATATATATATATATATATATATATATATATATATATATATATATATATATATATATATATATATATATATGGTATAAAATGATAATTGGAAAAAAACCGACGAGTTTCATCTTCCGACTTTTTCAAGGCAAAATGAAATTGAAATGTTTTTGTTGTTATAGTTAAATTAAAAATCCAAATTTAAAAAGATCTGGGAATTTAACTATATATATATATATATATATATATATATATATATATATATATATATATATATTATAAATTAACTGATTTAAAATAGCGAAAAAACATATTTTAAATCAGTTAATTTATAATATTTATGCTCTTTAAATTTACATTGAGCACTGTTTTGTAAAAGTAAAAAAAAAAAAATATCAATAAGAACACCGGATTATATATCTTACTTACACACACACACACACACACACACATATATATATATATATATATATATATATATATATATATATATATATATATATATATATATATATATTATCCTCACCGATACCACGGCTCGGAGTTTCATGCACAACGCAGTCATCAGGTGTTGGGTGTAGACTGACCGCTATGGTTATCGCAATGTTGACGAAGTTGTGCATTATACCGGGATTACAGTTTTTTAATTTAAAAAGTATATTTGGCATTTAAAATAAACGGGATAAACACACACACACGTGTGTGTGTGTGTGTGTGTGTATGTGTGTGTAAAACTTATTTTATAATTGTGAATATTATTTTTTTATATTAAGCATAAAGAGAGTTTACTGGTTCTCATAAAGAATACCAACCATAATTTACATTAAAAATGAATCTGGATCAACCTATTTTATTTATATAAAGATATTTATTTTTATGCCTGCATGTAACCATCAAGTCATTTATCTTGTTTAATAAGCTAGGGTTGCTTAACTGTTTTAAAATAACTAATTTTTCATAAGACATAAATTACATCTATTGCCTTTCCCAATGTAAGATTTGGCTCTTGTTACAATATTCCACGTAATAATGTGTGTATTACCACCGTTTTGAGAGAACAGTGCTGTTTATGTATTTTATATTACCTAAAGTCATTCGATGATGGTAGAAACGAAATTTCCAAAGATTTTCAGTGAAACCAAAATAAAATTTTACATCGTTATCAAAATGTATACTAGTTTGGTATACATTATTTTCAGTCGTACATTACCGTTTAAGGGATAGATCATATTTTTTCGGCAGTTGCATTTATTTCTTATATTAAATTAGATGAATTCGATGAAGGATAATATGTATATTTATTAATATATACTTAATAGCTGTTTTATTAACAACAGCATTATATGTGATATATATATATATATATATAGATAGATAGATAGATAGATAGATAGATAGATAGATAGATAGATTCGTCTCGCAGAAAAATTCTCTAGTCTTGTGAGTACTACCTTCATTAGGTGACCCAGTGCAAAGGTCCTGTGCTGGCAATTTTACCTAAAGTTAATAGATTACATTTGAATAGTTCATAATTTAAATCTTTATTGTTAAAGACACCATCTTACATTCTGTAAGAGGTCGTTATCGTAAAGGAAATAAGCCGGTAACGGTACGAATTAATTCCCCTGATATAAATATATATATTTGGTATAAAGGAGAATTTAAAACGTTGCAGTAGAGAGGAAGAAAGCAAAGTAAAGGTACAAGAAGAAAAAAATATGATGTTTGCAGGCAATAGTGCTGATGATGGTGATGCCGTTATATATTTAACAGCCGGTTGTGGCTTTTCTTAAAAATATGTATAAAAAATAAATAAATAAACAAGGATATCAGATGTTGTTCTACAAGAAGAACGTATTAACCTACCCCTCCCCAAAACACTAGGAATAAAATTGTGTGATCTATGATGAGAAATAAATAATAAGTAAATAAATAAGTAAATAAGTATGCTGGTATGTAAATAAAAGGTTCTGGTAAATATGACTTTTTAATTTTCTTTTTTTTTTTTTTTTTTTTGGCTAATAGGTTTACCATTTGTACATTTAAGGAAATGTCTCTCTCTATGGAATATTTTGTTCGTGATTTGGACTTCTATTTCTGGAATCGCCTTGGTGGGATACTGGTTCTCATTCTCAGGCGAGGGTCTGATGTTACTTTCTTCAGCATTAGGGATTCCTCTCCAAGAGTATTCCTCCCTATTGCTTGTTCTAAAAAGGAAACACCAGTGTATTTGTTACCCGCAAAGTGTCATAGGCATTGATGAGTGAGACACACGGCAAAAAGACGCTGTCACACACGAACACACGCACGCATGCACACAGACAAACACACGCATATATTTTTGCTGGAGAGCGAAAAATTTTCTTTCATAAGGTTTCTCGAACATATATAAATATATTCTTTAAAAAATATACCGAGCGGCTACTCCAATACGAGTATCCACTAAAAATAACGTTTAATCTGATAAAAAAAATCTGTTGGATTAATAAAAATCCATTACTTTCTTTAGAAAAATTGATTTGTTTATGTTTGGATACGAAACTTTGCAGATATAAAATTTTGGGAGATCTATGACGAGAGAAGTTTCACACACACACACACATACACACACACACACACACACACACACACACACATATATATATATATATATATATATATATATATATATATATATATATATATAGAGAGAGAGAGAGAGAGAGAGATAAACCTAGTGAGCCAGACAAACCTATCTAGGTTTCACCTAAACGGATCGTCAGGGAAAGCCGGCTTTCCTGACGATCTTTTTAGGTGAAACCTAGGTAGGTTTGTCTGGCTCACTAGGTTTATCTAGGTCTGCTCTACGGTTGTATTGAGCTCTTTTTTTAGTTAGTTGTTTACTCGTATCGGGTTTTTTCTTTGGGCTTCAAACCTGTATCTGTGCGATTTTTTTTTCGACAGACTTTCATGTTTCTAGCTCTTTCTTTTTTAAAACTTTTTTCCTCGAGATTGATTTGATTATTGGCAAATCAAAAATTCGAGGTTTTTTCAAACAAGTATAGTTATCTATATTATATATATATATATATATATATATATATATATATTACTATTTATGTGCAATAGTTGTATATGTATATATAAATTAATATTAAAAGTAAATATACATTTTTTTTCACCGGTGGCAAAACCGTAGTTTTAACTCAGCACCTGAAGATTGCGTTGTACATGAAACTCAAAGTTGTGAAGAAAAAATCTATACTTATTAATATATAATTTATAGCTTTGTTATTTTGGATCAAGCACTATTTTATTAACGCTAGCACGCAGTGTGCGATATTAGATAGATAGATAGATAGATAGATAGATAGATAGATAGATAGATAGATAGATAGATAGATCCATTGCAAATAAGTAGTTGCTGTAGGCATATATGTACAACGGTCCTCAAAAAGGGTAGATGCAAGAAACCGTACTACCTTCGGCATGTGCCTGCTGTTCAAACAAGTCAAATTTTTGAGTAGTACCTCTTTAAACTCCATATAGCACGATCAAGCATAACACAAAAAATACTTTTTTCAAATTATTAAATTTACTTAATTGATAGTGTAGTAAAAACAGAACCAGTGTATAAACTTATACCAATGCTTTATTGCACTTTACTCTGACTATTCGTCTACTGACGGATGTTATAGTGTAATTTTTATACCGTCTAGATCTTAATGGGAGGTAACTGATGATCTATCAGTACAGGTAGTACGTTTATTTGATCTGTTTCAGTTGTTTAAATGCATGTAACTGGATTAGATTTACAGATTGCGAATATTTACCCAGGATTTTAGGTCCAAGATGGCGGCGATTATTTCAGACAATAAGCTACATGTTGTAAACTATAAGAATAATCAAGAAGCTATAAAAATTGATTATTATTAAAATGTTCATAAAGTAAGAGACATTATTTCATGACAGTCCTTCGTTCGAAGACGGTTCCATTCTAATCAAATATTGTCGCTACTAACGAGAATATTGTATGTTTTGTTGCATACTGCCTCTCCAAAACATTTAACAATCTTCTCTTACAAAACATGATTATTGTAGTAAATTTGATCCTCACTATTGTGACCCTTTACCAGACTAAACAAGCTTAGTAAATACCTGTTTACCTACAATGTGACTTAGCATGGTATAGCGGTTAGCAAACTACAAACAGGATGAAATAATACAATATAGGTACATGAAGCTCATAGCAATAAACACCCATCTATTACAGAAAGTTAAAAACTTAGTAGAAACTAATAACGCCACATTAAAATTAAATACTCTTTATAAAATAAGTGCTGTTTGTAAATTCACTTACCTTGTAGCAAACCAAACTACTTATATTCCATCATCGCCCATCGGACCCCGAACTACCGCTAGTAACGAGGTATGCATGTCCCCTCGAGGAATCTCCCTGCCTTGAGAGACTATTGGGCCTTAAAATTGCAGTTGTTCGGCTACCTGTACCGCTCCAGTAACCACCTGACAGACTCCGTACTTTGAAAGACTAGCCTTAAACTCACACCTGATATCAAGTGGAATTCGTACATACGATCAATCGTTAAAGATGCAGAAAAAATGTTCGGGCCCCCTGTACCATTAAAATACCCGATGCCTCATGCTATCCTCTACCTTTATAAGAGCCAGATAACGCGGAGAATGGAGTATTGTTGTCATATTTGAGCGGAAGCTGCTCAATCGTCACTTTCCAGCCTGTAATGGCGATTTCCTAAGCGTAGCTTAGATGTTGCACAAGGTCGAAAGTATGGAACATCCAGTGAGGATCGAACTCACTACTCAATCGTAATTGATCTAGCTAGACAATCTTGCTAACCATTACACCACGCCGAAGTGTCCAAAATTATTTTTTACGTGTAGCTTAAATGTGGCACAAGGCCGAATGTTTGGGTCACCCAGCAAAAAGTGAACTCAATATTCAGCCGTAATTGATCGAGCTATTTAGTTGTAATTGATCTAGACAAGTTTGCTAAACATTACACCATGTCGAAGTGCCCAATGTACTTTCACTGTAATAACTTCAATCCACACAGGGTACCTTTTTTACTGTCAGGTTCGCCCAGTAAAAGGCGCCACTTGAGGTCGAGGAATACATTAAGTTTGCACGGATAAGAGGAGAAGATAACGGTTAACCTTAGACTTGAACAAGTTAAGATTGTAGTGAACGGGGAAACACCTTCTTATGTGTTAGTTCCAAAAAGCAGTGGTTCGCGGAAAGAAGCTGTTTGAGTGGAACTAACTTTTCACCAATGGAATACAAAGGGAATGTATGTGGTTTGCTACAATGTAAGTGGTATGGCGAGTTAGGTGAATGTTAGGATTGGCGGAACTAAGGAATACAGTACATCCGATTACTATCCATGGAAGAAGCGATAAAGCAGTTTGAGAACTACCACATCCTGCCTGTGAGAGAGAGAGAGATTGGAGGGTGGAAAACAATTTGTCACCCACGCTTTTGAACTCTATCGAGACTGGAAAGTGAGGACTGAGCGGCTCCCGCCCAAATATGACAGCATTCATATTCATTCTCGGCCTGATCTGACTTTTGTAAAGGTAGAGGATAGCATGAGCCGTCAGGTGGTTACTGGAGCGATACAGGCAGCCGAACACTGCAAGTTTAAGGTCCAACAGTCTCTCAAGGCAGGGAGCTTCCCCAAGGGGACATGCATTCATCGTGACTGGCTGTAGTCTGGAGTCCCATCGACGATGATGGAATGTAACTAGTTTAGTTTTCTACAAGGCAAGATAATTTACAAATAAAACATTAATTCTATCAAGAGAATTTTATTTTAATGTGGCGATATTTATTTCTACGAAGTTAAGAGTTTTTAACTTTGTGTAATAGATAATGAATAATGGATATTTATTAGTATGAGCTTCAAGAACCTATATTTTATTATTTCGTCCTGTTTGTAGTTTCAGTGTATCTGATTAGGATAAACATTGATAGTATTGATGTTCCTACTCTGTTCGATGTTTTTATAAGTGTTACTATTCTCCCTTAAGTAAGACTTAATTTGATCGTCGACATCATAATTTCAAATTTCATTAGTGATTTACTTAATGTTAGTTCTTTGTTGAAAAATATTACTTAATGTTAGTTCTTTGTTGAAAAATATGGTCCGGTACTTTTTTTAATCGTTTACAATTAGTTTGTTGAGTGGCTATGAGGGCATATTTGTTTACAACTTTCCGCGATAGCTGACAGCAGCAGAGTGTTTTTGTGATACGGTCTTGTTCATTTATTATATATACTTGCATATTTACCCATTCAGAATGCCACCCAAGCCAGCAGGTGGTGCAGAAGATGCTGCCAGAGGTAAGAAGCGTAAGCATTAATATTTATCTATGCTAGAAAAGGTGGAATTACTGAATAAATTAGTGAAAGGAATGTCAGCAATACATATTTAGAATCTTTTGGCAAGTTCATGTAAGCGATATTTATATAGGGTGTTTTAAGAAATGATTTCTGTCATCCGGCATTGGCTTGGTTCGGAGGGTGCTGGATTAAAGAAGTCTGACTTTTTAAGAAGTCTGTATTTTAAGAAGGCAGATTTTTTTTTTTAATATATGGAGAGTTAATATGATTAATGTCTTGAAAATCAGTGTGAAATACGTTTCTTGAGGTCGAACACCAATCACTGATGCTAATGGCAAGTATGAAACTAAATGAAACAGCTGATATGTATCTTTCGCTATATACATGCGTGTGTGTGTGTGTGTGTGTGTGTGTGTGTGTGTGTCCATATTACCTTCCACTACCACTTGTGTGTGCCGGAACTGAGAATAGAAGCCATATGTGTAAACATCGTCTCGCCGTCCAACGTCACTTCAAAAAGATCCTTTTTCGGTGGAAAAGCGATTCTCAAACGGTTACAAATTTTCTCCCAACATCTTTCAAAATCATTTTAAGCTCGTTCTCTTTATTTTAATCTCTTTAGCTTTCTCTTTCTGTTTCCCTCTCAATCTGTCTCTAACTCTTTTCCTTTCTCTCCATCTCTTTCTCTGTATATCACCATCTTTTACTCATTATTCTTTCCTCGTCACTTTATTTTTCCATTTATTTTTCTCTCACCACTCCTTTTCATCTTTCTTTCTTTTTTTAATGTATGTTTGTGTATTTCATTCACTTATTCTCTCTTTCAGGTTCTGTTTTTCTTTTTCTTTCTTTCTTTCTTTCTTTCTTTCTTTCTTTCTTTCTTTCTTATATATATGTTTCTGTATTTCTTTTCAATCTCGTTTCATTCACGTATTCTCTCTTTTGAGCTCTGTTCTATTTCATTTTTGTTTTTCTTTCTTTCTTTAAATTTATATTTTTTCTTTTTCTCCCTTATTTTTTTTTTTCGAAAACTAACACAGGTGGGTAATACGCAACTATCTCAGCCACTAAGCTAGCTCTAATGTAGGTATTTAACTGACACAGGGTCAAATAATGGTATGTATTTCAGGAAGAAGAGTATCTTGTGCCAATCTTGTTGTCTGCTTTGCACATCGACACTCGATGTTAACGCTTTTAAAATGATTTCAAACACGAACAACCGACACTGATGTGAAATGTGCAACAGCTTTAACCATATGACAGGCCCCTAAATGTTTGATGCATGTCTTATTTAGTATTATATTAGGTATGTTATATATTAAGTATGTAATATACGAGGTATGTTATTATAGGTATGTGCAAAGATTTTCAGCTAATGGCACTATAATAATAGCAACAATAATTATTATCATAAAGTTTGTTGATACTTGCTTACGGTCATACTACGTTGAAACATTGGTTCTAAAAAGATCACCAAAGTTAAGCAACGTCGAGCCTGGTAAGATAAGTGACCACTTGGGAATACCAGGTGCTTTAAGCTGGGATGTGCGGGTGGTGTAATGGATAACGGCTCGAAATTAGAAATCGAATACTGAAAATATGAAGTAAAAATAAAGATTATAAATTGAAAAAGTTGAAATATGACAAAAAGGAAAAAAACAACAAATGAATGTAGAGAAAAGGGAAAGAAAAAAATTAAATATAAATATTAACTTAAAGAGAGATAAAGAGACAAAGAGAGAGAAAAAGTTACTCTACATAGCGCTTACCTGGTGGTTGAGATAGTTGGCGTCTTAAAGAAATTCATTAAGTGTGAAAGAAAAATGGGGATGAGGTGGCAGGAGGAAAGAGGAAGAAATAGGTGAAAGGAAAGTGGGAAGAAAAAGTGAGTAAGAAGGGGAAGGTGAACGAAGAAAAAATAATAAGGGGTTACTTTGAAGAAAAAAATGATGAAGGAGTGGAGGGAGGAAGGAGAAAAATAAGTGACGGGAGAGTGGGAAGAAAAAGTGGCTATGAGTGTGAAGGAGTAAGAAGTGACAAATAGGTGAAAGGTGACTGTGAAAAAAAATAGACGAAGGAGTGGAGGGAGGAAGGAGAAAGAAATAATAGTTGAAGAGGAGATGTGAAGAAAAATACAAAGAAGGAAGGCGAACAAATAAAGAAAATAACATAGATGTCGTGAAAGAAAAGTCAAGAAGAAAGCAAAAGAAGAAAAAATGATGAACGAAAGAAATGAGAAAGGCAGGAAGGAAGAAAAATCGTGGTTTTTACAATTGCTTTCCTGTTTACAAGAAATTCGGTTAAATCTCGGCGGTGGCGGGGGAGGGGGGGTAACAAGAAATAAAGATAGACAGACGGACGTAAAAGAATTGATGAACGTAAACAATAAGTAAACAAATGCCGCGATGTGACACGGGCGAGGCAGGCGGAAATGACCTCTGTTTGACCGAACCTGAAATTCAACCAGGAGAGTGTTGGGGCAGGAGCGGGTACTCACACCCAACCCAATCATCTGCTTGTAAATATCTAGAATTTTACTTTTCACCACTTTTCCAACCGACAAATAAATACAAACAAACTTAAATGTCTGGCACATAAATATACCAACATAGATATAGATAGACAGATAGATAAACTCTACTTACCTGACAGGATGGATACATTTTTATTTATACAAAAATCTATCAGGTGACATACACAAACATCAACGTATGGCATATATATATATATATATATATATATATATATGTGTGTGTGTGTGTGTGTGTGTGTGTGTGTGTGTGTGTGTGTGTGTGTGTGTGAGAGAGAGAGCGAGCACGTTTGGTTGAAAAGGCCAACCTGCCTTGTTTCATTTTTTTTTCATGCCTTCTGAATATTATCGGCTTTAATTATTAAATATCTTTTATCATTTCTGGATTAATATGTGAATCTTCACGCATTAGCTAGTCATATTTTTTAATTGTTTATTATTTATTTAACTTGATTGTACCTAAATTGAATTTTTTAAAAATTTTTGTTGTGGATTCCGGGTTGAAATCCGGTACAAATAAATAACAAACGCCAGCAATGAATATATGAAAATAATGTATTAACGTAATAATACAAACTGGTAAAGCAAGTTAGTAGTTCCAGGAATACGGGTTAGTAGCAAAATATATATACAGTCTTTGGTATTGAAGTATCGCTGTATGACTTCTTACTGAGTGCTCGCTCACTGTGACTCCTACAACGTTGTTACCTCACCCCTCACTCTTTCGGTTTCCTACTACCTTTTACTCTGTCACTCTCGACTCGACTCGGTCTTGCTCTCTCGGGTCTTCACTGGCAGCAGCATAAGTATACACTGGGTGAGTCCATTTGTATAAAAAGGGATGGGCCCCTCAACAATTTTGTTGTTTCTTTTTTGGTTAAGGCTTCTAATATTTGTAGTCGTTTCTGCAGCATATATACTATAGTACATTTGTTTTGTCAATAAGTTCCACCACCACTGAGCAGACCTTTCACCTATTATTATTGCAGGGTGTTCACTCAAGTAAGTTCTTTGCTTTGAGTGTCTCTGGTGACACAAGTTTACCCCACAATATATAATTCATATATACGATATATTGCTGAAGCTACTGGGAAAATGGTCGCTTCAATAAGTATCTGACTCCCCGTTATAATCTATTTTAATAAAGAAACAGATCAGACCTAAAATGGAATATTGCGGCCAGGTCTGAACAGGAGCTGCCCAGTTTTCACTTGCCTATCGTGATAGTGTTCAAAAGCGTTACACAGCCTTGTGGGTGATGATTTATTTCTATCCAACAACAACTTCCCTACAGCCTCTCGGTCTCTCGCTACTCTATCGCTATACCTATGGTATGTGATCTACATTTCCTCGTTCCTCCAGCCCTGACCTTTGTAACTGTCACCCGTTAGGCCACGTACACAAGGATGAATCCCCATTCCCTTCGTATTCCGTTAGTAAGGAGTAAGTTCCACTCGAACAGATTCTTCTCAAGAACTGCTGCTTTATGGAACAGACTCCCGATAAAATGTTCTCCCAATCACGACAACCTTGATCTCTTCAAGTTTAGGGTTAACCGCTATCTTTCTTAAATAATTTCACGAACTTCACTCTTACCTTTTCATACGTACATGCAACAATACACATTAACCCCCTAAGTTAAGTGGCTCTTGGGCCTTGGATTGGATGAACATTAGTATAAAAAGTATTTGTTAGATGAAAAGACTATATTTCTTGCAAAAATCGACCATCAAGTGAGGCGTGAGTGTGCAATACTCAAAAACCGCCATATAGACACACCCTTATCAATCCACAAAAATAATTGCTAGTGGCTTACGAAAGCTAAAAGCATTCATAAGACAGTGGACAATTTATGTTCAAACACCCACTGGAAAGTAGGAAAATGCTCCGGACGCAAGAAAATTTTTTAAAAATAAAACAAGGAAGTTTCATTAGCATTTGCACAAATACATTCAATATATATGTGTGTGCGTGTGTGTGTGTGTGTGTGTATGTGAGAGTTTCCTGGCGCGTGTATGTAGGGGTGGGAATATATATATATATATATATATATATATATATATATATATATATATATATATATATATATATACGATTTTCGGCATCCGATCATCACTCATTCTGATGACATGTCAGCCACACACACACACACACATCACATACATACATATATATATACATACATACATACATATATATATATATATATATATATATATATATGGGCTGGTCATGTCATCAGAATGAGTGATGATCGGATGCCGAAAATTCTCATGTATAGCCAATTTTTCATGCTAAGCGTAATGTAGACCGTTCTTGTTTACGCTTCCAGGATAAACTTAAATACAATTTAAATCCTGCAAGCATCCCTATAAAGGAGTTCGATCTTGCTGTTGAAAACCGTGCAAACTGGAGAGACACCTTCTACCGAGGTATAACTAACATTGAAAAAAATAGTCTCACCCATTTGAGAGAATCAAGAATTAACACTAAATCTCGGGCTAATACATCAACCCGTATGACGGTCAACCCTTCAGTATACCCTTCGTGTAGATTTGTTTGCAAATATAAACATAAAAACTGAACTGAAAGACACACATACGTCGAAAACGACTTTACATACACCGCTGGTGCAACACATTTTGGATGGTTAATTTTTTCTATTACACCAATTCTTTCGGTTCTGTCCAACTCTTCGTTGATATTCGTTCCAATGCTGTGAATGTTACGCTTCGTTTCGACTTAAATACTGGAGTCGAACCTTTTATACTTGAAAAAAAAATCCTTGAATTTTGAACACCGAACCAATTGATTTGATAGAACACCAAGAAAACATTTTTTTAATACTTCCATAAGATCTTCGGTCTGACTTTTTAAATTGGTCGCTTGTCCACTTACGTTTTAACAATAAACGTTTATCAACAAATCCCAAAGTTCGAATTGTTCCATCCTGTGAGTGCCGAATAAATTCGTGGCATTTTTAATACATAAGATTTAGTTTTACATGCTTATTACGGAATGATACATTACAAGTTATTTCTCCAAAATAAATAATTTCTAGAATATAATAATTTCTAGACTAGAAACTGAAATCGCAACTTTTGATTTCCTTTTTAATAAAGGCTTTCCAATTCCTTTCCATGTGGTTTTACTGATTATTTAAATATCACTACCAGTGTACAGTAGCATTTTCACACCCACTTTATTTATTTTCACATTCACAAATTTTCTTTTGTTTTCTGTGGCCACTTTTCCCGTCGCAATACTGTGTCCAAATTTCTTCCTGTAAGAATTTTTCCTTGGATTGGTTTCGCAGTGTGACTTTATATGTTCTCATATGCAACACTTGTAACATTTAGCGTTTTTAAAAGAACTTTCTTTTCCAAGATGTAACTTAATATATATGGAACAAGGATTTATTCTCCTTTTTCTGCATGTGTCCTTTACTTTTACTAATGAGCATTCTTTTTTCTGCATTACCTCAGCATCGTGTTTCAGACTTAGAATTGTCTAGCAATCGTCCATTATTATAATATTATTGTTTTGTTCAATTTTCGTTAACATTTTTCGCTCGTACCATGAACTTAAATTAACCCTTTGAACATATCTGGAGTCATTTCCTTTATTCTAAAATATTCACATTCTTTGTTGACGATACCAGCATACGTGATAAAATCTTTGCCCACTTTTGGGGTCAGATTCATGCACCACCATCGAGCATTAAACAGAGAGCTCTTGTCACTAAAGATTTTCGTCAGAATGTGTACCGTATCTTCAAACCCGATTTCACCTGTTCTTTTCGGTAATATGTAGTTGCAGTATTTTTCATACGCTATCGGAGCTATTTTCTCAACAACAATTTTATTTTTCTCTCATCTTCCAAGCCATTGAATTCTTAATTGAATATTTGTTCATATCTACGAAAATACGCAAAAAAGTCAGTCCCTCGTCAGGAATGTATACGAATTCTGATAGGGTGTTTTGGACAGCGTCTGGCGTAAGTGATGTTGACAATGTCTTTCTTTTCTTCACAGTTATATCCAACAACTCTTGTTGCTGTTATTGCAGTTCTAGCAACTGTTGATTTTTTTGCTGTTGCTGTTTCTGCTGTTGTTAAATTTCAACTATCGAAGCTAAAATTTGCTTCATATTCGCAAGAATTTTTTTCCTACACGTAAGAAAAATTCTTTTTTAAACCAACGTGATTAAAATTCTTGTCATCACCCGTATCCTTGTTCCTGAAGCTACAAGTATATTTTTCCGTACTTGTTCACTCAGTATGAGTTAACAAAATTCTTGTAACTCCAATTACAACTTGTATGAGTTCTTGAATCCTCGTTACTATTATAAGTCGTAAGAGTTTCGAATCCTCGTCACAACGGTTATACATCGCCTGAGTTTCGAATCTCACGTCGCCACTGTTATAACGCGTTTCGCTGCGCTTATAATATAAGTAATTTTTTGGCAACTTGCCGTGAAGCCTGTATTAATTAGTCTGAAGTCTGACTCCAAACGGTTTCTTTTTCTTACCTCTTATCTGGAGCTCTTTATTTATAGTTATGGACTAGTTCATATATTCACCGGGGTGTACTATTTACTCCACAACACTAACTGCCATAGTTGCGTATTTACTGTACTTGTAAAATCAGTATTTCTGACCTGTACTTTTAAAATCAGTATTTTGAATGCTGATTGGCTCTCCCAACTTCAAAAACTTGTTCAACATAATCTTCGTCTTATCTTTTGTTCCCCGATGTGATCTAAAATAGAAATCTTTTCCAACAAATGTCGCTCCAAATATCCTCGTACATATTCTATCACAAATGTTAGGGATCGGGGACAGCTATACAACGTGAGGCGAATCCAAACACCCTTGATCACCTAATTTTTTATTGTTTAACGACTACTTAATTATATTCTACAGCAACAGAATAAAAAAAACGTTATCTGTAACCAGCAATACGTAAGGAAAACATTCTTAA